TAAGAAAATACAGTTAAGCTTTGGTTCCCAGTTATAGCTGGGAATATATATTTTATAAATGTTACAAATTTACTTGTTTTGAACATATTTTATTGTATTAAACAAAAGGATTGGAAACAAGTTCTTTCAACTTACGAGTTCCTCTCCTTAAATATAACTATATGTCATGCAATAAAAATACATGTAGTACATAGAGATATAAATACAAAAGAGATACAAGTGGAATATTTGTTCAGAAATATAACAATTTAAAATCTACAAGATTCGTCAATAAATTTTATGCACAGCAGCAAAAATATATGTGTTTGTTTCAACAGGCAAATTTACATCACCACATAATTAACAAACTTATGTCAATATTGACCAATTTGTCAAGTAAAAATAGGCGATTGAAAAGATTATTCCTAGCGTTTGGATAATTTCTGCAGGCAAAGAAGAAAATGGTAAACTTCATACTTTCCACATGAACATAAAGGGCTATTAATAATATTTCTTTTGTGTAAATCATAATTAAGTATACAGTTGTATTGAGTTTAGTATGTATTATATTTGTATAACGTTTGCCAAATGAAAAATAGATTGGGGGATTTTTTACTTCTGTAGTAAAGTTTTTTCGAAATGCATTGAGTGAGATGGCTTCCCTAGTTTCTGTCTTTAATAAATTCCACTGTTTCACAGCGTCAGGAATAAAAGACCTTTTATATAATTCTAATCTGCATCTTGGGGCAGCGTATTGTTCTTTATTACGGGTATTATATTTTGAAATGTTTTCACGCTTGTTTGGAACAATGTCATTCAAATATTCAGGTATACTACCATTATGAATTTTGTATATTGTGGTCATTTTTGCATTATAGCGCCTAACTTTCAATGTTTCCCAGCCAGTTTCAGAGTAAAGTATTTCTCTTATATAAAATTGGAAGGCCTGTAACAATTCTAGCTGCAGATAATTGAACTCTTTCAAGCTTTTCGTATCATTATTAGAGCAGCCATCCCAAACAATTGAAGCGTATTCGAGCGAGGGTCTGATAAATGTGATATACAATTTTGAAAGGTGTGTCCTGCCGATTTTAAACTTTAGTTTTTTCAAAAGCCCGAGTTTCTGATAAGCATTGTTTACAATGCTATCAATGTATTCTGTCCAGCTAAGGTTTTGTGATAACAATAGACCTAAATGACGATGAACAGGGACACACTCCAGTCTGTCACCTTTAAAAAATAATTTAGGCATAACAGAAATATTTTTCTTATTGAAAAAAATTACTTTCGTTTTGGAAGGGTTGAATTTTAGAAGCCACTGATTTGACCAAAGTTCCAGTACATGTAAATCATGATTTAAATTTGCTTAAAATAAAAACCCACATAATGACATAAAAAGAATCCATATTGCCTCGTTGTTTACTCCTCAATAAAATACTTACAGTATGGAAAGAGAAACTTTAGGAAAATATGTACAACAGTTTATTCGTCGAGTTGTTTAAATCAGATGTGTATACTTACATTTTTGTGGTGTATACTTAGAAATTCAAGGATCTCTAAGAAAATTTAAAAAAAAGACAGTTTTCTTACAACCAAAATCAACATGAACAACTTAATACAACCCCACGATCAAGTCCAGGCCTTTTGACATCATAGACATCAGCCCTTAAATACTAATTTAAAAGAAGCTGATTGACAATAACTATCCAACTGGTACCAATTGCGCACTGTTATTAGCAAATCTGTTTTTGTATTTATATGAACAGAATTTATTTAAAAAAAACAAACACTGTTTCATAAGAAAAAAATCGCTGTGACCTTCAACACGACAGTTAAATATAGTCTGACATATGTTCATATTTAAAATGTAGCTATATTTCATTTCAAAAAGTCGTTAACTCCCCTTACTTAGGTAGAAATCTACCATAATCACCTGCCTATGCGATAAATGTCTCCCAGTTGATTGGATACATCCTTCTTCAGATCAATTTTAAACGAGACAAGTTATTAACTAATAAGTTGATGAAACATGATCAAAAGTTTCGTATAAAGTCATCATTTTGCAAGTCGCATGGTCGATACATTGGCATTATTAGCAAAACAATCATTGTCAAATCCTGAATGACATTATACATACACGTTAGTAAGCAAATACTTTTACACTGAATTTTCAACTGATTTTCCCCTTTATCAATCACTGAAAAGGAGCATTGGACGGATAAGATCGCCCGCTAGGTGCAGTGGTTAGCGGGTCTTCTCTAGACTCGCAGAGTAAGGGGCTGATCTTTATGTCGCGGGTTTGAATCCTCTGCGAGACGTGGATACTAGTCCTTTGGATGAGACTGCATGAACCCAGTACCCGTGCTGCAGTAGGTTTTGGCATGAAAAAGGATCCCTCACAACTCAATGACCATCAGTGCTCAATGAAAATAAAAATTTGCAGACCTCCACCTGCAGGCGACGGCGTATCCATGCGAGTGAACGATTGTCGAGAGGGACGTTAAACAACACAAACAAAAAGAGCAGATGTAATCGTCGACAGGAGGTGCTTACTCCGCCATAGCTACTGATCCCGCCTCTTGATGGTTTTCGAGGTCCCTATTTGCACTGTTCCTAATTTGTTAAATGGATTTGAGTTTGAATACTGTTCGTACTTTCCATATTTCACTGTGACACTGTTTTAGGTTATTGGTCATGTTTATCCTATGGGACACAATACATACCATTAAAATTGCAAAAAAAATTATTAATCATTAAATTGAACAAGATTTTAATCAAAATAATGTTTAATTAACATTTCGGCATTGATGTACTTATCAATCAAACGAAACTTTTGCATTGTATGATTATTCAGAGACGGGGTTCATCCATGTGCAATTCTAAAGCCTGATATTATTCTCTAAAAGGACACACCAAATGTCTGTTGAAGTTTTAAAAATAAATTCACTGCTTCGTTCCTTTAGGGAAATGAAAGAGCCTGTCGTTGGATAGAAATGAATATGGATATAATGGAGACAAACCACAAAATATGATATCAACACTCAACACAGTTATTTGTACATAACAGTGTACTTTACTGTTTTACTTTTGATCTATCCGAAAGTTAACGATACATTTTCAAATATTAAAGGCTACAGTTTCATTTTGTCATCTTTTTGGGGCTTCTCTTGGCATATTTTAAATAGTAGCTCTTCAAAAAGAATATTCTGGCATTTTGATAAAAAAAAAAAGGTTACTCTTAGTAACTGTGGGCTAAAATAAATCGAAGTTTCTTAATCAACTTTTAACTTCTTCGTTTTATTTCTCCTGGCTTTTTCTTATTTGACTAATAAAGGGATCGTTGTTTCCAGAATAAATGGTACCTGATCCCACCTCTGATGTTTTGGAGGTCTGTGTTTCCTCTGCTCCTATTTTGAATTGTTTAATGGACGTTTGAGCTTGAAAACTGTCCTTTATCTCCCGATATTTCATTCCAGAAAACTTAAACGCAGAGGAAGGGTAGATTTTTAGAATGTCATCCTTTTAAAAACAATCTGAGCATTTTTGAAGAGAAGTAAAGTGCAAAATCCACTCCTATTTTTTGTTTGGTTTTTAATATTCGTATCTATTGAAAAGATATATTTATGACGAGGAAACTAACAGATTACTGCGTTTATCTGATACTCTTGTTTTTTCATGAAGTCACAGGGGAAATCCGTATGGTGTTAGTAAATGCAACGAAACGGAGAAAGAAAGTAAGGAAAAATCGGAAGCTGGTAAAAACGAGGAAGATAACATTTAAATACTTTGGTTAACCAGTAAATGATCTTAATCTTGATTACCAAATACTTTAGATAATCAAGCTGTAAAAATCTTAAAGATATCGATATTTGAAAATATTTTATATTGTAAATATATGCAACAAATTTTAAAAACGCAAGCAATAAATTCTGTTCCTATCTTCAAACATATCATCTGTCAAATTATCATAATTTGTGGTCTGTGAACTAAATGTTTTATGTAGTAATTGTTTTATTACCATAGAATAAATAAATCAATTAAAACCAATGAAATTAAATTTGTCAGACTTTTGGACAGTGAAGCTTTGTCTAAGGTTATGTTTGCTGCTATGAATATGTCACACTTTCCAGCCTTATTAGTATGATTGTTTTGTCATTGACAATTTCTCATTTGTAGGTCATTTGCCTACATTATGTTTCTACATTATGTTTTGTTTCAAGATCTTACTACACAACACACACACATCGCCAGCTTTTTTGAATAGCGTAATCGTAGAAAATGTTATTTTAAAGAAAAACATTTTTCATTTTCTTGACATTCTAATTTGGGGGGTCATTTTTTTCACTTACGCTGATGCAAAAATGTTGGTTTTTCTAAAGGCCTTAGGCACAGTAAAGTTATAATGTCAAAGTCCTCACACGATAGAAGATATAGGACTAAATTTAATGCTGTCAAGTGACAAGAAGGTGAATTAAAAATAAAAACAATTTATAAAATATAAGAAAGGCAAATGCTAGTAGGTTGGAATCTAATTTTTTCCCACCAGTTTTAAATTTCATCAATATTTAATAAATAAGTATACGTTCGATGCATGTTTACAATCTATTAATTTAATGCCTACTGCTTTTTTTGTGTTGAAGTTTTTTTAGATAGTAACATTTATAATGATGTCTTAGTTACGAAAAACAAATTTCGAATGTAAAATTCATACTTTATTCACATTAAGTCAGAAATGATTCAAACCACGGCAGAGTCATATTTGTGGTGAAAGTGAGAAAGAGAAGTGACAATTTCAAGCAATAGTACAAATAAGTGTAAAATTAATTGCGATCCAATAAAGTATTTGATTTGCAGAGGGCATCGAGTAATAAATGCTGGGCGAGCTGAATTTCATCAATATCTTGCTGTTCATTGTGATATATATTAAGAAAACTAATATATCTTACCACTGGCCGAGCGCGGTATTCAGGGAAATCGCCATACTTTATTAGTGCTACAAATTCACGGTGTTTGCATTTTTTTAAAATTAACCAATGGATATGTAAATTGATATGTAAATTAATCCTGTTGTGTGCTTCACAATTTCAAGAACCGTATTTGGAAAAAGAGGTGTGGCTTCTCTATTCCATTGATATAGAGGAGTGTTTTTAGCATCGCGGAAATTCTTCAATCGTGTATAAAAATTGGAATATAATTGTAATTAAGTCTATTTATTTGCATTAAGACGACAGAGGAGAAGAAAAATTGCCCTGATTTTCTCATCATGACTAAAGCAGAATTTATCCTTTCCTTTGCAGTTATTTCATCTGGTGAGTAAATTTCAGAATCTTGAATTTACTACTGCATACTGAATTAGACATTTGTCAAGACATTTTGAGATGTAACCTTGTAAGTCAATGAATCTAGCTACACATCAAAGAGAATTAGATGTCCAATTTTTGTTCTTTTTGTCATTAACATTATTTAATTATAATATTTTTAATCTAAAAAATTTCACATAAAAGTATCATGTGACCTACTTTAAAAATTAAAGAAATTCTAAATGTAAAACTTACAGTCGACATTACTAATGAAATATATTAATCATGTAACCCCGTAAAGACCATGTGGAGAATGTGACATTGACTTAATTCGTATCATCGTCATTTTTTCTTGCTGAAGTTTTGGTTTTAAATTTATAATAATGCAACAGAAACAATCTTTTAAAGCTTGATGGGTTTTTTGTTATCTCTTTTATTCTCTGTACTAAATATAATTCATCAATATAAACCTCGAAATATACGTATAGTTGTGGTGTGAATTGTCAGAATAACACAATAACTTATTACATATATGTGGGTTTGTGTAATCAATTACACAAATGTAACACTTAACATCACGATCTTGTAAATAATGCGTCGAATTTTATTTTTTTTTTATCACATTGTAATTGAACACCGATGATTTCCACAAATCAGACTCTTCATCTTAAGTAACTTTTTAAATTAGACGAAATCTTCACATATACGCAAGTGGCAATATGTTATTGGCAATTAAGTATACCGAAGAAGTCCTCGAGGAACCATTAAATCAATTGTATTAAACAATTAATATAGAATTGTACTTAAAGAAAAAAATATGTACTCATGTCATAATGAATGAATAAAGTCCAAGGAAGAAATCCGAAGAATCAAGATGTTCAATTTATAAAAGGGAGATACTTAACATATACTGAGTTGATAGACTGTATTTAGATATTTATTTTGTCTAATTTGAGATTATTTTCATTGATTTGATACTAACTAAATCGTCCCAAGAAATGTATTAGCCAGCCAATGAGGCGGTCAATATTATAAAGCTCTATAACAGATAATTGAAATATGATATGGAATATGGAGGAAAAAAAAACAGTAGTCAAGCTTACAATCCATTTAAACAATACAAGTTGGGAGCATAGCAAAAACTTCAGAGGTGGGATCAGTTGTCTTGGAGGATTGATTGATTGATTGCATATTGTTTGACGTCCCTCTCGAGAATTTTTCACTCATATGGAGACGTCACCGTATGCCGGTGAAGGGCTTCAAATTTTACCTTTATTAGGCACTCAGGGTCATGGAGGAGTGAGCATCCTCTATCGATCAGTCATACCTGTCATGTGCTCTTTGTCATGATCGGGTAAATAAGTAAATTCGTGTAAATTTCATTTTTTAACTAAAGGCCAAACAATTAGTATAATTTAGATAAACAATTGGAATAAGCATTTTCAATCATATGTTCAAAGAAAGTTCTTTTGGCAATAGCAACGATTGAATATAATTCTAAATTCTTTAATTTTTTGATAAGTTGGAGGATTTTTTAAATTTTAAATTGTCTGTATAAAATATAAATACTATCATTAATTCATAAGACATTTAAAAAGCCACACGACAAATTATATAAATTTTATATTTATGAAAAGCAAAATACAAACACGACAGATTTAGAAAATATCACATGATTGTACGGTTTACAAAAAAGACAGACTTAATAAATATTAAAATTGGTCCATTTGTCAGAAAAAGCGTAATATATATATTTTAAATATGGTTTTATTTAACTCAATTGAATGCGTGCAACCTATTTTCGAAAACCACAAATTTTAATAATAATAATGTACATCCGTAAGTTTTATAATGTTTGTCATTTTCTACGTTAGCCATATGATATTAATATCAATAATTAATGGAGTCAAAACTAAACATGTCAAACGAATGTAAACTTAAAACGATGCATGTGACATAATTTCTATTTTAGACTAATGCAAATAAGAATATTAATTTAATGTTGGTTTAGGAAAATGTATGTGTCGAGCGTCATATGCATCTTTCATATTAGCAAAGTTATAGCATAAAAGTGCAATTATTGTCATACCAGTAACAATATTCTCCAGTTTAAGATATCATCAGAAAACTAAGAAATTGTGGATTAGACATACTGTTAATTCTTTCGCTGTTATATAATTACAAAGGTGACGTGAATCAGGTAATATATATGTCAAAAACCCCGGCGGCTGATATCGCCACTGATATCGGTAACATCCAAGGTCATTCAACATCTGTATGTTTCTTCTTGGGGAAAATTTGGAATCCTTATCAACTAATCAGATTAAGGAAGATAGAGCGGTTATTTTGGTGGCATTCCTAAGTAAAGATGTGCATGAAGGAAATTACTAGGATTCTTTTGCAAATCGTTGGACGATAATGACTTCAAATTCTATAATTGGTTAACAGAATTTTAAGAAGAGGAGAAAAAATGCGTGAAATACTGGCTTTTTTACATAAGGCACCTATAATTAAGATGATACTAAGCACGATTATTCTTTGTAGATTTACTTTAAAAAATTCTTATTCTCTATTAATCCAAAAGAGAAGAATTCAGTAGAGGACAAGATGTAACATTGGAGTTCTCTCATTCAATCTTCATTGTAAACGAGGATCCCTAGCTGTAAACCTATACGTACCAGCTTTGTCATCTAATAGAATCATCGGAAACACATTGGAATACTGCATCAATCCCCTGGAATCTCCTTGTCAATTAGCCCCTTCACTGCGAGTTATTTCAGACACTGCTCTAGCTACTGAAGCATTTTCTGAATGAAATTCCAAAGAAGATCGATTCCAGAGATAGCCTTCATTGTAGGGGGTTAGCTGATAAGAACATAGGAGTAAATTAGGAGCAAATTGTTTTTCTCGTAAAACACATCATTTGTGGCACTGATTATAGTGATAAGATTATATAGACACATCTTGGGTTCTCAAAATGTATGTGTTTTATTTAATGAGAGTGATAGTTTAAATCAATGGTATTTGATGTACATCGTAGATTAATTTCTCACAATTCACATAATTATAATCAAGTAAGGAATCTACACTAATTTTCATAAATTAAAGCTAATCAAGGAATAAAACAATGAAAAAAAGAAACATATAAAATTATTCCCTTTATAAATAAAATGATTTAAATAATTTTGACAAAATAGAATAGTAATTATTCAGAATTGTAGATTTCAAATCCGAGAAAACTCTATCATGGAAACAAAAACATTAGCAATGCATTCTGCATACATACATACATAGCATTTAGATTTTTTGCATTTCATATTTTAAAAGTACTGTGTTATCGTGATAAGCATTATTAGGCAGTTATACAAAAAAGCATAATTTGTAAATTTGTTTCAAGGAAATTAAAAATAAGTACTTTCCTTTAATAGATCCGTTATAATCATTTCACAATGCCTTCATCATGACAGCTACCTAACCCTTTTTCTTATAACACCTTCCCACAGAAAATTTCACCATAGAGGAAAATTTCTATATAAACAGCGATTTATCTCACAATCATGTTTGTATAACTCGTATTCCATTCCCACACAATATATCAAGTATTGCTTACACAAAAAAATTAACAAATTCTTATTGAAATTGAATTCAAGTACATATGAAAATTTAAACGATAAATTGTCTCTCTTTGTTAATGCAGGTTTTTTTTCTGAAACAACAGTTGTAGAAAAACAATTTAACCTTGCAACATTATTATGGGTACTGTTATGAAATTTTGTTCACACCTTTTGAGGAATCAGACATTGTGGATATGAATCCAACTTCATCTTAATGTCTTTCATTGTTTGTTAATGTGGGTTTTCTGGAACAACTGTTGTAGAAAAACAATTTAATCGTGTTGCATTATTATGTTACTATAATGAAAATTTGTTCATACCTTTTTAGGGATTCTGTCCCCGGGATCATGAAGCATCTTAAGCTTCAGTCAAAAAAATGTATATGGTGCAAAGATTATTAAAAAGTTAACCAGTACAAAATAAAATCACTTTATTATTTTGTATCATCAAACTGCAATTATATGTAATTTAAGATTTTCATTTAAAAAGTATTAAAATATCTATAAATGATAGAAAGACTTTAGTCTAAGTCTTTTTCTTGACCTTGGGGATTGATCTATTACGGAACTAATTATAATACGCAATGTGGCTTATTACTAATTAATAATTCTTTTTTAACAGTGTTATCGTTCACAAGAGGAATAGAAATATGCGACTACTTACGAGGGTATTGTGGCACTACGTGTGAGTTTGAATACGTTCACAAATGGGGAATACCCCTCTGTTCGGGGGGAGGAATGAAGTGTTGTGCTCCAGACCATGTTGGTAAGTCAGAGACTGTAACAGATGTTAGAGAAAATTCTTCTTCGCTTTTATTTACATGATATAGTACTTAATTGTGAATAACGGAAAATGGGTGAAATTTTATACTGAAACAATTTACTATATAATAAAGTGCAAAAAACTATCGAAGACAATGTTATGCATATTCAATCAATAACGTTAAAAATAAAAACAAGAGCTACTAATGGTTGGATGAAGAAGGATACATACAGAATATGAACAAATGAAAGATTCATTGTATACCTACATTTCAGTACAAATGATGAAGAGCAGATCAACTACGACGACGACTACAACCACCACCACTACCCCGGCACCGACACAACCATTGATCGACCTACTCGTACTCGACCAACCCCGATTCATGTCCAATGAAGTCCCTAGGAGTAAGTTCACAACCTTATAAAGGAAATGACCCTCGCTTTCTCTGGCAACTGTAAAATCTTATCTTTATAATTATCCATATTAAAAGATTTATTATCAATTATGTTCTTGAAATTATTCAAAAATATTTTTCATCTTGAACCCCATAGGACAAGATTGTGGTAAACCCTATTTTTCACATCGCGCCAAGAGGATCGTGGGAGGGACAGTGGCACCCAGAGGTGCGTGGCCCTGGCAGGTGTCCTTCCGGTACATGAGTGGGGGTTACGGTTGCGGAGGATCTCTCATCAGTGATCGTTGGGTCCTCACCGCCGCCCACTGCTTCAAAGGGTAATATCTCATTCACCAAAATTAGAGAATCGATTATTTATTTTTCATTAATAAATAAATAATTTTCTATTGAAAAAAAAGATAAGTATCATGAGTAATTGTTTAAAGGATATTTTAATAAAATTTTATAGAGCATATAACAACATAAAGAAATGGCGGGTGACAGTTGGAATGCATGATATGACTGGAAACGAGGCATCCAGGAAGGACATCGCAATTAGATCTATTATAAAGGTAACACTCTACTTTGATTTTTAAAAGAAATCTTACTGACGAACGAGAATGATGCCAAGATTTAGTTGATCAAATACAATTATTAATGTAAGTGAACTGTGTCATTACAATAATCTTTGATAAACTTTTATCCAGCATCCTCTGTACATAGCCTACGATGAAAAAGAAGACATGAGAAAGAACCAGTCTACTCCACTTCACAAACGTTATGCCCATGACATCGCCTTAGTGGAGTTAGACTCGGGCGTTGACGTTCAATCGCCGTATACACGTCCTATTTGTCTGCCCTCTGTCGGTGAGCCTCTCTTTGGGAACGATTTCGACAAGAGGGAACCAATCATGCAGGACAACACAGTAGATCTGTTTGATGTGGAGAGAAAGGGACAGTGCTGGGTGACTGGATGGGGATACACTGGGAGGGACGGTAAGTTGTAGCCCAAAATGACAAAGACGATTCAGTCTTACATTTACATGTACATTAAATTTCATTTTACACCTATTTATTTAATACAGTATCATTTTAAAACTTTAAATTTTAAAATTATATTAAAGTGAAATTACAATAACGTTTGCAATTCATGAATGTTAGGTTCATTATGCATGTTTTATGTAATCATCGAGGAATTATCAAATTCAAAATATTCCAAAACGTCTACAAGTTCATCAGATGTATTAAATGCATTGCATTCATTCATCTTGAAAATATTTGTACTCTCCCTAAAAATTATCATCGGAATTATCAGTTTAAAAATAATTTGGCAGGATGTTTATGTACATAATATATACGACTCTCTTGCTGTTTCGCTTATAATGTCAAGAACCTCCAACTACGATAAAGCTGAGTGAGAGATCTAATAATAACCATTTCCTCTGTTCGGTCTATGCATTGAATTACCCTAACTGAAAACAAGATTAGTGATATTGAGCTTAATTTAACACCTTATCTGAACAACAACAATTTCTATCTTTATTGCAGGGGAAACTGATCGCACACTTTTGCGCCAGGTTCATGGGAGCGTCATAGGTAGCACTCAGTGCAGGGAGTTCTGGCAAACTGAACTGGATGACGATACCCTCTGCTTTGGGGACGGAACACATGGACCATGCAAGGTATATTATCAAAACAGAAAAATAGTCAGATACTTAAAATTTCAAAAAAAATGTGGTACATTTGATATGAGCATAAAGTTTATTACGTACCATCGTTACAAGCTATGGGACAAATACATGGAGATGTTGTAAAAATTTTGATTACTGTCTACATAATAAATTCTTTAACCTAAGACAAATCTCTGTATATAATTTTTTTTGTGTGAAAGTCGTTTCTTTATATTTTTGATCCTCAAAACTTTTTTTCCCCTAAAATCATTATCATAAACCGTATTTTGCAATTCTAGTACTTATTGGAAGACCCTTGGAATTCTTTTTTTTTATGCTTTCATTATGATGTTTTCATCAAAATTTGAAGATAACGAACTGTGATAGATCTTAATAGAAACTTTGAATCAATAATATAAAATACTGTTCTAGGTTTCTTTAATCTTCGAAATGGATTTATTCTAAGAACGGCACGTTGTACTAGAATAAGTTGCAAATCACATAATGATCATAGTTTTCGCCATACCAGGCATTCTTCGTCAACAAACTTGATTTTATACATGTAGCAGAATGACTAATTAGTCAGAATATCCATGGGGAGTATATGTTTCGCGCAATTTGAAGGAAAAACTGAATTGTATTTAATGAACAAATCTTCTCGGATTACAGTTCATCAAAATCGGCTCTATTTTGCTGACTTGGCGGGAAGAATAGTTTAATGTCTTTGTAATAGCTGTAGTGACAATTCCTTTGAGATTAATTCTGGTATATGTTCTCTACGTGACCACAGAAAAAAAATCAATGCACCTATTTCTTTTTTCCTTTATTTAATAAATCCGTTTTACAAGTAAAGTGCCAACTGAAAGCTGACTTTCATTACCATAAATGTCTCACCTTAAAGCCTATGTTTGATTCCTTTCTATTTTTAGGGCGATTCTGGGAGCCCGATGTCTTGTAAATATGACGGGAAGTATTACATTACGGGAGTGGTCTCGTGGGGATCCGAAGACTGCAAACAAAAGGGATATCCCAGTGTGTTTACCCGCGTCACATCTTACCTTGACTGGATCAACAAGCACGTGTCACGTGACTGATTACTGAACCAGTCGCTGTGAATTTTATATATTAAAATATTGGTATGAAGAATTCCAGAACGGCTCAGGGAACACGATTTCAAAAAAAAAATAATACATTTTTCCAGTTAAGTCTGTTAGGAGCTGTGATATTGCTAATCGTTGATTCTCTGTGTGTTTTCAAAAGAAATCCAACCCACCCGATGTTTTATAGAATTAATGTTATTACATATTAAGTACATGTTTAATGAGTCTTAGATTGTTCTCCTATCAAACCGTGTGACTGTCTCTTTCTGTATTTCTTTTTTGTCGACAAAACTTCTCTTTCTTTCTAAAAAATGAAGTAGCTACAATTATATATTTTTGTATGTGATGCTTAAGCAAATTCCACGTTGATTTTATAATGGCAGAATGATGACGACGTGTTGGTATTGTTGTGTTACCAATAAAACTTCTATTGGTGATGGTTACCAGCTTTGTTGTTTTTATTCAATTTGCGATATTGACTATAATATAAAATGTACAAGAAACTTCTTGAAAAGTTATCGAAGGTCCATGACACCTGTTCCCACCTCTGATGTTTTCTAAAGATTCGAGTCTGCTCTGCTCCTGATTTCTACTGAGCAGTTGGAATTTGGGCAAGATGAAAGTTCGTTATCATCAGATTTCATTTTCTCACTGTACTTATAGTCTGGTCCTGAATTTTAAAAAGAAGGCTAGAAATAACTTCTAACGGCAAATAATTATTATTTGGTCCAGCATAGTTTTTTAACCTATTTCGAGTATGCTGAATCCGAAAAAATATGCTGGCCTTCATGAAAATGGCGTTAAAGGGGTCAAAATGGCAATTCAAAATGGCGGACATCCAATTTTTCTAATTTTCTCGTAATGTCGTTCAAAATGGAGAAGTAATGAGTGAATATCTCAGTGAGTGTAATAAAACTATAAAAATTATAATAGGATGGTAACATTATTAGTTTAACTCAGAAAATTTAGTCGTTTCTACACTTAATTCGAATTTTCTCTGATTTTTTTGTCTATTGTTTCTATATTCTTCTTTGTTCAAGATTTTACATTTGCAAATGTCCATACACTGCAGATTTGTATTTTTCCCTCTGCATCTCACTATTCTACAATTGAATGATGGCGCAGCTGTAAGTTTAAAGTCAAAATGGCGATTCAAAATGGCGGATGTTCATCTTTTTCTTCAAATTATTTAATTCTTAATGTCGTATACATAGGAGAAAGGATTTGTGAATATTTTACTGAGCGTAGTACAACTATATAAAATGACAATACAACACTTTTTTGATCACTTTAAAACGGAAAATTAAGTCGTTTAAATTTGAAATGTGTTAATTAACTCAGAATGGCAATTAAAATGACGTCTTATACTTTCTAATTTCGTAAAATACCCAAACTGTTTAATTCTGATTTATTTTGCAGAAAATAAATTACAGTTTTTTTTTATTCATGGAATAATGTTCAAATATGCAAGGAAAGTTGGAAAATATTTTTGTTAATGACTTAGGATTTTTATAATACGGATTTTTGTTTAATTACTTCTATTTTTAAGATAAATTTTTGACCTCAATTCCGAAGACATTTTACCTTTCACCTGTCTCACCATGCTTCTTCATATAAAAAGTTAGCAATATCATACAATAATTGCTGTTTTGAGGACAATATGAAAATTACACTACCCCAAGAGCAGTTTCCCCTGAGAATTAAGGCGAGTGAACATTCAGTTCTTGGGAATTCTTGATCTATTTTTAGTCCAGTGTAGAAAAAATAAATGTTTATGTTAATGTAGAAGGTCTAGTGCAACATAAATTAGTATGATTTTTAAAATGATTGACCACGACCAATTATAGGGCTAGTAACTGTTACATCATATAAATCTGAATATATTATAATATTCAAATATAAACATATTTATTAAGAATTATCAGTATAATATACGTAAACCATAAATTTTCTTGATTGTCCAGCTCTGATTCTGTGTCCCTACATTTGCATTTTGTTATTCTCAGTCAAAAATTCATATGCATTCTCAAATATTTCATGCTGTGAACGGATAATTTTGTATTGAACAGGGTATATAAATTTAAAAATTTTGAAATTTACAAAATTTGAAAGAAGAAAATGTTTGTGTGCAATCCTCCCTCGATTCTTGATACAACCTTACACTATCCTAACAAAGAAGTGTGGATCAAGTTGCCCTGTAAAGTACTTGAAGTGTTCAAGAAAATTTTGTTGTCAAGAGAAGTGTTGACTAGATCGAAATCAGGAATGGCTCAGGCCTATTGGTACGAAAGCTTGTAAGTGATACATGTAGGAATCACGAGGAATCTAGCTGCAGGCGCTCTTAAATTGCATAATCTTACAACTTTTCTCACCAAAATATGCACACAATGTGATTTCAGATGATCAAGTTTGAGAATTTTCTTGCTAGTAGAATGACCTTTCTACCCTTAAATACCGGTACAACAAATCTATACGAGGTCACAAAATAATGAGCTACATGTCTTGAATATCAGAGATGTTTTTATTCTCCCCGCTTGAAAAGCGGGAGGGTATAGAGTAATTGGTATGTCCGTCCGTCCGTCTGTTACGCTTTGGGGTACCCATCTCTTATCCGCAACTCCTCTAAAACCACTAAATGAAATTTGATGAGTCTTTCAGAGAATATTTATTAAATAATACCATTGTACACCTATTTTACTTTTTGATCCGACACATATTTTGGGTTTCCCATGATAGCGAAACAAGGACACTGTCATTATATTCATATGGGAGACCGGGGTATCATTTAGTGAGCTAATTGCTCACAGTACCTCTAGTTCATTTTGCATATGGTTTTGGAAAACAAAATAGACTTTTAACATTTGAACATAAATGTGCTGTTCCTTGAGTGTTGGTTGATTGATTGTATATTGTTTAACGCCGAGTCGGCAATTTTTCAGCCATTCAGTTTAAATAATTGGATTTTGAAGGATTTGGTTTCTCTGGCGGCCCCCAGTGAGCTTACTCTTTTTCGAACTCCAGAGAAACGATCTTTTACATGCCAAGGGGGTTGTCATCCTTGACACGGGGCACCATTTTACTTGAGTGTTGAAAATACCAAAATTCAGAAGACAGACTGAAACATAAAGCAAATAAAGCTGGAACAGATGTTAGGGGATAATACTAAGTTCTTATAAGTGCTAAAAAGTTAGAACAAAGTGTTCGATGAAATCGGAGAAGAATTTCTTCAGTTACATTTGATGGTGTGCCGAGGGATGTTGAGGTAGAAGTGCGAGTTGATAATGATAGGATTCGGGAGTGATTTTAAGTGGACGGGGGCTCAAAGGCTAAATGGAATACGTACGCTCAAATACGATGGGGGAAATTTGGAAACTCGTAAGTCGAGTTTGTTTGAACTATTTCCAGGAAAAAATGAATCTTTTCAAGTATTTTTTGTTAATATTTATGGACTAAACAATAAATGTATATATTCTACATGTATAAAAAAACAAACTGTAAATTATTTTCTGCAAAACAAACCAGAATTAAGCAGTTTCGACGAAATTCGAGTGTATCAGACCTCATTTTGAATTGCCAATTTGAGCTAATTAACACATTTCAAATTTAAACGACTAAATTTTCCGATTTAAAGTGATCAAATTAGTGTTCTGTTGTCATTTTACATAATTGCATGCATGTACGCTCAGTAAGATATTCACAAATCATTTCTCCTATGTAAATGACATTTAGAATAATTAAAAGAAAAAAAGATGAATATCCGCCATTTTGACTTTAAACTAACAGCTGCGCCATCATTCAGTTGTAGAATAGTGAGATGTAGAGGGAAAAATACAAATCCGCAGTGTATGGATTTTTTCAAATGTAAAATCTTGAACAAAGCGGAATATAGAACAATAGACAAAAAAATCAGAGAAAATTCGAATTAAGTGTAGAAACGACTATATTTTCTGAGTTAAACTAAATAATGTGAGCATTCTATTATCATTTTTATACTTGTATTACACTCAGTGAGATATTCTCACATTATTTTTCCTTTTTGAACGATATTTAGAGAAAATTAGAAAAATTGGATGTCCGCCATTTTGAATCGCCATTTTGACCCCTTTAACGCCATTTTCATGAAGGCCAGCATATTTTTTCGGATTCAGCATACTCGAATTAGGTTTAAAAACTATGCTGGACCAAATAATAATTATTTGCCGTTAGAAGTATTTTTTTCTATAAATCGGAACCAGACTATTAATAACTTGAAACAAGTTAAATTTTGGGAATATATATATATATATATATATATATATATATATATATATATATATATATATATATATATATATATATATATATATCATTTGGATGTAACGAACTGTATTCAAGCTCAACAGTCCGTTCAAACAACACGAATCAAATGCAGAACAAACATGAGCATATAAAACATCAAAGGTGGAACAGGTGCCACAAAGGAGAAAGCATTCCCTGTCAATAGATTCCCTTGTTGTAAAGATTGTTTTCGAGTACAGCATGCTCCAGATTATCTAAGCAACTGAGAAACGTAAATTACATATGTGATAGGGTATATTGATACATAAGTAATGTTTATCAGTAAGTTTTCAAGTAAAAATATCCGCTCTGATACTCACTGGTCTGCCCATTTGACATGTGAAAATGTAGCCATTGTTACTTCGTAACCATTTGATATGTGAATAAAAATAACCACTGTTAATACTTCGACTTAAATTTCGAATGGAAAATCATGGCAAGTATCTGTGTTGTTTTCTTTTCATGTATAAGATTTGAATAAATTCTTCATTAAAAGATGTTGTCAATCAAACTAAAAATCTTATATACTATTATAGATTTTAGAGTACATGTATTTGAATGTACAATCAGAATGTTATTTAGTTTCAAAATTATATTGCAAATGAACGATGGAAAGGTAAATAAATCTAATGCAATTTGCACTGAAACATAAATTGTCAATAAGACCAAAAAGCCTGATATCAAAGGCTTAAAATTCTTTAATAATTTCAATTCAAATAACATTAGCAATTGAAATTCTAACCATTGTATAGGTAATAAAAAACGGAAATATGCAGAGAGAATGAAAAGTATTCAAGCTCAAAAGTCCATTAAACAATACAAATCAAGAGCAAAACAAACACGGATTCCTAAACATCAGAGGTGAGATAATGCGTCAAGGAGAAGTGAGCATCCCGCTCCGACCGATCGCACGTATGAAAATATCTTCCTTTCTGATTCTCAAAATACCAAAACAATTAATTAATGAATTAAGTTTTAATTTTTACACATGCAAGTAAAGACTTGAAGAATTTCTGAACTGTTAGTTAAATCAACAATATTGGACTAAAGTTTTAAAATATATCAAATATTTGTAATTTTTCAAGCAACTTACAATTATGTTAGGTTTTAGAACTGTTCAGCCAAAAAT